CATCTGCCTACTTGGCATTTCAAAGGCTTTTGACAAAATCAGTCACCCTAAGCTGCTGCAGTACTTGTTCGGCATTGGCGTTTCTGGAACGGCATTAAGGTGGCAGCCTGGTCGTAAATTCACTGAAAAATCGAATTTGTAAATTCATATCGAGTGCTACATCAGTTGAAAGAACATGAACAGCTGCAAAATCTCTGAAAATCTTGTCTCGATCTGGCCAGCCGTTCAAGAGTTATGGCCGAAAATGTGCCCTTGCAAGGAAAGATATTTTTGTTGCACCCTGTCATTTGTTGGCAGCACTGTATTTGAATGTGAGCAGACCGTCCAAAAAATCCAAAAATTCACGTTAAAAAAACACGTATTGGGCTGCACGGCGGCGTGCGAAGCCCGCCGCCGTGCAGCAGGACTTTTGCCAGCACCCTCGTGACGTTGCAGAGATGTGGCTTGATTATTGTAGTTGATGTTGATTTAGTGACTTTGGCAAGTTTGAGTCGTGTCAAGAAGTCAGGTAGGATTCAGTACTAGGCAGTAGTGGAACGTGAGTGGTAGTCTTTGCCGATTTTGGAGGGTATCCTGTATTCGGTTTGAAGCGCTGTGGAAATGGCTTGCTGTGGAGGTCCCAGCACTGGATGTTTTATCAAAGGTACGACCTCGTAGCACGCCCTGAACCTAAAAAAAATCAAAAATTGACTTGGGTCTGTGGGAGTCTGTGACAGACCGCCCACTCCTACCGTTGTGACAGATTCCAGGGCCACGTTGAAGGGCCCTATCCCACCACCCATGGCTGCTTCTGGACGTTTTTTAGGTTTGGATCCTGCGCACGGACAGAATTGGCTAGAAAATGTGAAAAAATTGTAAATCATGGCCAGGAATCGAGGACATCTGAGAGTTGTAATTTTTGTACTCCTCCGAGGTGTGATTTTTGGCGTGCTGGGCCAAGCACAAGGAAGCCATCTGCAAAAAAACTGTAGAAAATGGTTGTTGTTTGATCCTTTGGTGTAATCTTTGTTTCTAGTCGAAGCTAGTTGCTGTTTGGAGCAGAAACGCTGAAATTGACTATTTTCTGCATGTACTCATACATGTACTCATGTACTCAGGCATGCAGTCTCACTCGTATTTTAGCTCTTTTTCTGGAATGGATGCTGCTCTGCGCCCCTTGGTGAACATTTCCTGCGCTCGTGGAGCAGCTGAAAAGGACCACTGGTATGTCTGGTTCCTGGTTTGAAAGTGGAGAGTTGACTTTTGTGTCTTGAAAAAGGAGTAGAGAGCGATAAAGGTACGTCTGTGCCTGATTTTTGAGTGCTCCTCGTACATTTTTGATCGTGATAGAAATTCTCAGCCCAAAGTCAGACCAAAGCGATGATGGTCGTACAGTTTTCTTGTGGATTTTTTAGTTGTTTCATCTCGTATCTATGTCAGTATCGTGATGGTGAAGTGGAGAGGGTGATTTTCTTCCTCTAGGCTTCGTTCGGCCGACTTTGCTTCGTCCTCGTTGAAAAGTGATCCTGAAAAAAAGGTCGATTCGCAAAATTATGTTGATTTTCAATGTACGTGATGACATGCGATTGCTGGCTGTGGTATTTGTTTGGCTCCTGGGTGGCTCGCCAACCGTGGCACTATGCCGGAATTTTGAGTTTTTCCGGCCTGTAAAGCCTGTCAGTGAGGCGCAAGAACTTTGAAATGTCCAGAGGGCCAGCATAGTGGCAGGAGTGTGTGGTGAAAATTTCACTCAAATCCATTGAGAGACACCAAAGTTATGGTCAATTGAATGCCATATGAAATTTAGGACCAGGCTGCTACCCTTTAAAAGTGGTTTGCCAACTACAGTATCTTTGCCATCCAACCCAGCAAATGTGCATTGGAACCCAGGACGGACCCTGTATTTTTTATATTGTATTAAAGGTCTTCTTACAGGGTGCCCAAGATGAATGAATGTGTTAAGTTTCTGGCGAAATGAATTGTAGATATGATTTGTGCGAAGAGATTCGGGAAGCGCATTGAAGCGGTCAGCACCAAGGAATGAAATGTATTTGCTTCCAGCTTGAGTTTGCACAATGGTAAAGAAAGGGAATTATTGACTTGGCCGCGGGTGACTCTATCTGTGTGAGCGCAGGCACGGCGAGGGGAGAGACGAGTGAACTGCAGATATTGTGGATGCAACAGAATAGGAAGGATATGGACTTAGTAAAGTATCTCGTGTCTAAGCAAATTGTGTGGTACCTCTCAAGCAAATATGGTGTGGTCTTTAAAACCAGGTAACACAGTGTCCGTGGAGAACTGCCGGTGCGTGGAAAAACGGTCGTTTAGAGACGGTGCTCGCTAAAACCAGAGGTGGATTGTCCAAGCTCTCAAAAAATGACGCACAGTGTGTATCTCTGCAATATCTGGTCGCTTCGCGGTCGGAACGGAAGCTTTTTGCCTCACCTGTCAAATATGGTGGTCTGGCAGTGCTGTGGGAGTAGCGCATTATTATTTTTATTTTTATTTTATTTCCCGTTTGTCACTTTTCCTCAAACTAGTGAAGATTTTATGACTTGGGGCTCCCCGCGGGCTAGAGTGTACGTGAAGTGTGTGGGTACAGTGAGGGCTGCGTCTCCCCGCCTGTGTGGATTCACAGGAAGTGTGAGTTACGAAGTCTGAAGAAAATGTTGAAAGGCCTCTGCTGGGATGACGACTACACCATAGCTCAGTGGTTAGAGCATCGCTAGCTACAAGCGAGGGTCCCTGGTTCGAGTCCTGGTGGTGACGGTCAATTTATTCTTCAGACTTTTCCCGTTTGTCACTTTCCCTCAAACTAGTGAAGATATTATTTTATTATTTATTTATTTCTGCACCTCGTGGCATGTCAAGACAGCCAATTGAATCGAGGAGAGGGTGAGACCAACCACGGAAGAAGAGAAAGAAAGAAAGAAAAAGACGTACCCAAAAGGGGTAGGGATTAGCAAGTTACAAAGCAAATTACATACGACATCGCGTCGATCGACCTACCACTTGCAACCGTTTCAGCGGTGATGAGTCGAGCGATGGCGACCCAGACTGAGACTCTACTCCCACTAATCAATCCTGTAGATATTGTATGTCGATTGAATGTGTTGAAGTGTTTGCCTTCCAAAGAACACTTTTGTTGAGCACAGTAACTCCTTGAAAGTCATGTCAAAAGTTGCGAAGTTTTTGTTTCAGGCGGAAGTATATCATTCGTTTTTCTGTAATTGTGTTGATGCGATGTGTTATTTTGCCCGTGCAATAGGCTCAAGCTGTTTGGAAAACCCTTGTTCACTTCCCCATGCCCGACTAAGCTTGCTGCAAGTGACAATGAGTATTATCCACCTGGTACCGGAGATCCTGTAATTCATCGAAGTGATCGATGAGTCTCTGCTGGGAGGATATTGCATGTGTGAACATGATTCGTCCGAAGCTATCCCCGCCAACTACAGTTCTGGCAACTGAAATCCGACCCCCGAACGGTGCGCGCACATCGCAAACACCCGTGTTCATACTGGCCAACCCTCCCGGTTTTCCCGGGAAAATCCCGGGAAATCAACACTACTCCCGGGGTCCCGGGGATTTCAAGCAAACTCCCGGAAAGTCACAGTTTCGTTTGATACAGGATTTTCCTGAAAACTCCATGGATTCGCCTCGAATGTCCCGGTTTTTTCCAAAATATGTACGGTGCGCACTCGCACATCGAACTGTGCACGGCACTTTCAAGACCTGACGACAACTGGCACAAGATCTGCACTGACAGGCGCTATGCAGGCGCCGACTGATCGAACTGCGATGCAGGGTCGAACTGTGCCGTACGCAGATCTGCAGAGTTGAACTTTTTTTTGGCGGGAAAAGCCCTTTTTCACTTGTTTTTGTGCCATCCAGGAGAAAAATCCAGGGATTCTGCATGTCTTGTCAAGGGATTGAGATTCTGGTGGTTGGTCAGTATGCGTGTTAACACGGATTGTAAAACTACGAAATAGAGACCGCTAGAATGCGAACGCATCGCTCAGGGGTCGGATTTCAATTGCCAGAACTGTAGAATACAATGACTATGTACTTGTACGGGTTGTTCGCGGGATCCGCGTCGGCATCGCTTGAATGTTGAGAAACACACAAACCAGCCTTCGCATCCGCAGGCCACCACTGTGCCTGTTCACCTTAGTGGCGAATGCAAACCTCACAAGTGAGTCAGGGGAGAGGAGGTTAGTCTCTCAACCAATCCGGCGTGTAACGGCCCATAACCCTGTAAACTGCATCCTTGTTATTCTCACTCCGAGGTTGTTTCGCACCTCAGTAAAAGTCTTCCAGGGACATGGATCCATGGATCTGGTGAGAAATGATGCGCAAAACTCTGGTGAAATCTAGTAGAGGTCTAGAGGATAACATACTGTGAAGCGTGAAATTTTCGCGGCGTTTTTAGTGCGCGTTTTCAGAATCCGGACAGGTTTGTGAGGTTTTAATTTTGCGATTGCAGAATGACATTCTTGCTAAACCTGTGGCATTCTTGCTAAACCTTTCATGGATATCCTTTTCGCGTTGTCTAAATTTCGCGATTTCCACGCGGTCGCGAATTTCGCAGAAATTAGACCATCGCAATAATTTCACGGTTCACAGTAGCACTAGTGCACTGTACTGAACAGAGGTACTAGTAGTAGGTCTACGCCCTATGATGCTATGGCGGCTACATACATGTACATGTAGTCCAGTGCCTGTGGCTGTGCCTGTGCTCCCTGGTGGTTGACTGAGCGCAGAACGCACGACGCAGCATTCAGTAACGAATGGCGGATTGAGGCAGTGTCGACAATTGGGATTATGGTCGCTAAGCTTCGTTATTGCGAAGTCGAGCTCGCCTACAATTGAGATGAAGGTTTTTTTTCGCTGCAGTGAGATGTCGAGATAGCGATCACACCAGGATTGGTTCACTCCCGGGCGACTCGAGACGGTGCTATTCACCGTAATGCAACGACAAAGAATACCCGCATTTGCACGTTCACAGAATGGCATTGTTGATATTGTTATACATTATGTTTTCTTCAAACGTTGAACGAAGACGAGATAGACAAGTGCATGGGAGTGCTGGATTGCGTACAGCCTACGCTCTATTAGTATTGTGCGGTGCTATAGTTACTGCGTACACATATCGCGAAATTTCAGCGATCAGCGATGAACGGAAATCAGCGAAAAGCGGAAAAAGATCGGAACTATCATGCAGCGTTCTTATGTACAGGAGTGACCTCTGTTACAATAATTATAGCTTGCATTCGCCTTTAAAAAGCGGTCAGCGATGAACGTGAATCAGAAAAACCAGAAAAGAGCGGAACTGCCGCAAGGGGTTCGTATGTACATGGGTGACCATCGTATTGCATTCGCCTTTAGAGAAACCTTTTAAAAATACTCTATCAGAATGACAAGCAATGGCGTAGACACATGAAGTACACTGGCTCATGCGCCAGGGTTCTGAAAACTATTGGTGCAGGCAATTGCAATCGTATACCCTAATATGTGGAGCTTCAGATACCTAACAAGCAACGCCTAAAATCGCTAAGATCGCTTGCCTGTCGACAAGGGGACGCATTCAACGGGGATGGTACAATGATGGCGGCTATGTACAAAAGCAGCGCCTGTGACGGCAAATATAGATTTGAGCCTATGGCTCATAGAATGTGCTAAAGTAGTTATAATTGATATTGGAAGATAAAACAAAATACTGCCAGTTCTGATATCTCTTTATTAGATAAAATTATGGCCGGAAGGAGGATGGACATTCCGAATAATCTTTGCAAAGAAGCGGGATATATGAAATAGTGAGTAAAGGGCCTTGGACATAGTAGGCTCACCTGGGGGTTTTTTAGTATTGAAAGGAAGGGGGACGAGACCGGGGTTGGAGTTAGGGAGATAATTGAAATGTCAAACACGACGTTCAGGTGGGAAAACAGATTCGGAAGACGGTAACACATATATTAATGAACGTCATCGCGTTTCTAGAAAACGGATGATTCCGAATTCTTCATTGTACCCGTACAAGAGGACAACACGCACAATAACAAGCACAGTACAATTGACTAAACAAGTTGAAAGAGACAGGTATAGCAGACGGATGTATACTCAACGGAGCAGAAAGACGTAATAGGTAAATGTTTTCGTAGTGGTCCAGGTGAGCTCCAGATAATCGTTAATGCTTCGATAGTACAACGTTCCACTGCATTATGACAGTAGCTCAGTCGACAAACCTTACGCAGGCCTTTTTCCATCTGCACTGGGTACACCACTTGTCCTTGTTTTCCATTCCGTAGACTTTACGACACTTTCGGCCGTCACCACGCACCTTGTTGATGGGAATGCCGTCCATTCGGTGGTAGTCCTTGCGCTGGACGCTCCGCTGCGGAGCGATCTGATAGATTCCGCTCGTGAAGGGGTTGGCGGCCATGGCGTGGTCCATCATGCGCTGCTGCTGGTGCATATTGGGAAAGGCCGGGTCCATGCGTGGCTGCTGCCCTGGTGGAGGCACTGGCGGCTGGTACGTGAACTGTGTTGCCAGCATCTGGTTGGTGGATGGCTGGGCGGACGGATTTAGACCGCTGCCTTGCCATGCAGATGGCCAAGAACTGGGTGGAGCAGCCGGCATTTGAAACAACTGGGCAGGGGCTGTCGGAGGCGGAGTATTCATGCCGGGTGCAGCCGTCACTATCGCTCCTGGGCTCGAACCCAGCTGTTGGGAAGGCAGCGAAAGCCCTAGGCCGAAACTGGAGGAGTCAGCCAGCGCCAGGTTGCTGAATGAAGAGTTGGGAGAGGAGTTGGACATGGACTGCAGTTGTGGCATACTGTTTGATGAGGACATTGTTAGTGATGCGATACTGCTGCTACTGCAACTGTCGGTGCTTGAATTCACAAATCGTCCTGCTTGGATCGCCGACGTATGGACTGGAGACGCTTCAGTGCCACGCTGGTACATGAAGTCTTCCAGTATCCGGTTGTTGGGGCTGAATCCACCGCCCAGGTCCTCCAAAGGTGCTGGTGGCAGGCGAGGCTGGGGCTGATGCGCCTGGATTTGCTGCAGCGGCGGTGGTGCGGGCTGCTTCAACTGATTCTTTAGGTGCTGATGCTGCTGTTCTATTTTTACTAGCCCAGCCCAGTCGTCGTCCTTCATCCTGTGGGAAATAGCGACAAACACACGACAGGAGAAACCAGCTTGTCAGTTCCATGACAAGATGCCTGCAACTTTCTTATCTTTTATGCTATTAATTTTCGCCTGGAGCCTGGATGGTGTTCTTTGTAAAAAAATTGATTTAAAACAATTGAAACGATACACATACGGTGAACAATAATTGGAGCAACGAGTTACTGTGGTGCCATCTCTGCACCATGGCCTGTAGCTCGGCCTATTTAAAGCTCGTAGCTGTACTGATAAGGCCTATGGCTAATTATGGCCGAAGCAGCGTGTGGTTCACAGCATTGGGTGAGCAAAGATTGTATAATGCAGCCTCGCCAATGGTATTTCACATCACAACGTAACGATTGTGAATAGTTACACGTCTGCACTTTGATGTAGGAAAAACACGTAAGCTTGCGTTAAATGCAACACTATACTAGTACTAGGCATTGTGCTTGTGATCACCCACTGCACTGGCATGCATTCACACACGGCAAAACAATGCCTTTCGTGTAGTGAATACTAGTATGCTAGGATGAACCGCATAATAGAGTAAACGAAGTCAAGACGAGCAGCCACACCAACTCTTCAAATTCTGCTACATGTGATCTGTAAATCGAATACGTTGCAATGATCTCACACTTCTATGACCTGCCTCCCCCCGAATTCAAGCATTTCCTCTGCCAGCACGATCGTCCATAGTGATATGGCTGCGGACATGAAGTGATATCGCCGATGTCACGTCACAGATGGCACATCAATCCCATAACGTTCAGACTTGCACTGCCCGCTTATTTCATTTTTGTTTCCTTTGTTAAACCCTGTTAAACCCCCTTTGCTGTATAGGTTCCAGAAAACATGAACGCTCTGTGAGTGGAAGACCCTATGATGTGACAGGCCTAGTAGTAGAACTTCCAAGAGCCTGCTTTCAATCAAATACACTATTAGGCTCACTGTATCGCGTAAGAGAATGGTAATTGACCACTAAAGTGCACTCTAGAATCTAGGTAGAAACGTTAGTAGCACAAGTAACTGTCCTCCCGATCTGCTCAATGCTCCACTGTTGCTGCTGGAAATGGAAAACGACGTTGTCAGTGTTTTTTTTACATTCGTTGCCATCTTTGATCTGTCTCCGTTGCTACTTGGGAATGACTTTACACTACCAACCCCTAATATGGAGACATATCCAGCACTTCAATGCATACACCATTGAGAAGCTAGACAAGTAGTTCTAGTTTTTAAAGAGTGAAGTAAAGTGCCGATATTTGGAACTCCGATGTGTTTAACACCAAGCCTCGCAACGCTGGAATTGATCTTTTAGCCTCGCAACAAACTACAGGATCGGAGAGGAATATCGATAACATTATGAACAAATACAGAGTCTACATCAACCCAATTCAGATATCGAAGACGACATTACAGCGAACGCTCACTGTACGAATAGCCCGTTCGTCGAACAATGTCTATGATCTAAACGACAATACGATTTTCTTTGACAACAAAAGCCTCTCCGAAGAACTTTTCTTACAGCTGCTTTTACAGCGTGGACATGCCTTTCCGAAGCAAAACCTCTCGCCACCCATGTCTAGAAGACGTCAGATGGTGACTGTATGGTCCGGTGGTCAATTTGGGTCGGACCGATCAGACGCACTCGACAAATGAACGGTCATTGTCTTACCTTGGCATTGGCAGTGTTTCAACCATCGGGAAAGCGAAGACCACCGGCACGCGGTAAATCAACAATCAAGTAGACAAGCCTTGGTAGTGCGGCGGTGAGGAGCCGAAGTGCAGGTTGGGAGATCGATGGTGATAACGAAGATGTGGATGGTACGACCTTTGCTCACCCTTCTGCACTTTACGTAAGAATAGGACAACTGGAAACCAGTGGTAGATGAACCACAGCGTCGAACCTTTCACACTTGCAGAGATTGATGGGAAGCAAACTTTACTTGCTGCCGCTTACAGGTTGAAGCTGAGGGTTCAACACATCAACCACTCCCTGATCACTGCCGCACCGTACCGGAAACATGTGAATACTGATCCTGGAGACGGGATCAGGCGGCTTTTGAGCAGTCCGGAATCCCACATCATCTTAGGCAGATTGCAGCAGGCAGCGGCAGCAGAACATCAGATTCTATGCACCCAGGGTAAAGGACCCGTGACACATCATTAGCGCACTGACTCTGGCTCAGTGCCGAGCTCCAGGCCCTCCACATGCTTTGACGGCTTGCTACGCCAGTCTACGCGTACGATAAACTACTAGCTGTTTTCAGAGTGGGTCAAGCCCTGAGTGCATGGCTCATCTCGTGAGGTCCTCCAAAGGTGCTGGTGGCGTGGAAGCCATCAGGCACTTCAGTACGTTTTTTCCACATCAGACGAATACAGTGCAGCTTCGTGTAAGTGACTGCGCGAACGACGCACAGACGTCTGGTAATTTTACTATTCTTGGCTTTGTCAGAGACAGAAGCTGAATTAATAATTCATGGAATAGGTCATAGAAGCACCATGCTGGTCTCGGACGTACTGTTGTCCGTTCTTAATTGTCGAGCGTAGCAGAGGTCCTGTGTAAGCACGTGGAACGTCCAGATTGTTACTAAGCTAGCAGACAGTGTGGCTGTATCATAGTGTATGGCTGCTCCATGGAGATAACCAGTCCAGGGACTCCGATGTACGAGTGCGGCTCGGGTCAGAGAGCCAGGCCATCTTACATCGCGAATCGCTAAAAAATGGCTCCTCCAAGCCGTCGACAGTTGCCAGTAGATTGGTTTACATGCGCATCTATGTGTCGAGTTGTCCAATACTACGCTATAAGTGATTTACTTCACAAGCATTGGCATGTGGCTGGCGAATACAACACCCACTGAAACCCAATACATTAAATCATACATTAGGCCATGTATGTACTTAATTGCTAGTTGTGTGTGATTCATCTGTCATTGGCGTTCGTTTGACGAGTCAGTAAAGTTTAATGTTGAATAGATACAAATACAAATGTTATGGTTTTTACAGCAGCTACGGTCTAGCTGAGCAGAAAAAAGCAAAAAAACAATTCGACGGGTTCGCGTACCGGGCAGGTCAAGAACAAGGAGCAGAGATCGTTCCAAATTGTCTTAAGACTTCAAAACTGCCACACTTGTTTCTTTCTGTCAGCTTTATCCCGTATGCATGTGTGTGTGTGTGTAAGAGAGAGAGAGAGAGAGAGAGAGAGAGAGAGAGAGTGTGTGTGTGTGTGTGTGTGTGTGTGTGTGTGTGTGTATGACGTGCGTGTGTGGGTGTGATGCATGACGGAGGCTGTATGATTGTTCAAATGTCATCTACACGCATAGTACTGGTTAGAACAAGTCACTAGGAATTAGCAGAAGGACCAATGAAACCCTTGGATGCCTTTCTACTACACGTACATGTACATCACAAGCAACAACAAGCAACACGTCAGACAGTGGGATTTCCTTTGCTTCCAAGCACTGAGTGGGCTTTCTCCGTAAGACTTGTGCTGGTCACTGTGAGAGTACTACAGTTCACTTGGCAACCATTCTACGCCTCGCCAAACACTTCTGCTAATGCATTTACACTACAGGTTCATTTTGCATGTGCTTACAGCTCAACAGGATTTTAGTCATAGAGTTCACGTGGTCCAGAGGAGAGGAGTCTGATTATGAGATCTCCAACAGCTCGAAACCAATATGATACAATTACATGTTATTTGTCGGCATAATTATACATATACGTGGCATGCATGCAAGCTTTTGTACAGCTACAGTGTATCTACTTCGAATTGCAGTTGGTGATATTCACAATACGATTTCATAGCCAGTGTCTAACAAGTAGGTTGCGGAGTGGGCAGCTGCATCTTGCAGCTCAGATTAGGTTTTCCCAGCCATTTTATCTCCTCCGACCTGCGAGCAAAGGTTCTAAACGTGTAACCTCAGACTTTTAGTATACACAGCCTCTCACAGCTCATTCAGGAAGTTGCTACAGCTGTGCACCCAGGAAGGAAATTCCAAAGCTCCATACGAGTTCTAGCCATGCACCCAGCTTAAAGGTCCACAGGACGCAGATCACTGCCCAAACATGACAATATGCTGGTGATTAGATGGGTAGTGATGACCTGAGCCTATAACTTGAGTGTAAGTAGTTGCATTGGGCAACATCTCGAATGGGCAATTATTCCGGGACAAGTGAGTCATTTCGCATCCAACCCCTGCTGTGAACTAGCTGCCGTTCAATCCAATCCCAATCCCCAAGGGCCTGGGGCAAGGCCTTGATTCCATGCGAATCAGGATATCGGCTACTGGTAGTGGTAGCAGGAGACCATAACCTCAAGAGTCATACTGGGGTCTGGCTGCTGTAGCCTGTAGGCCCACTGCGCGCGGAATTCCAACATTACGTCATGCCGCGGAGGCACAGTGACAGAGGACAAAACTCTCCATTCTGCGGTGCTTCGAACCAGGGAGTAGTACAAGCGCAACGAACGTGTAAGTCACTTTTGACGTAATAGCGAGGTTAAGACGCACGTTATTTCCGACGTGACGCGCATTTTCACATCAAATTTGGCGTAAAACTCCAAATTTCGACGTGAGCAGTAGGTCACTCGCGTTGATTTTTCGACGTGCGAGCCAAATAACGCGAGCTGAACTTTCGCGTCACGTCAGAAATAACGTGCATCTTAACCTCTCTAATGTTGGAATTCCGTTGCGCAGATCAGTATGAGTACGTTTTTGTTGGACAACCATTCATTATTTATGTCCAGACTATGTGGAAGTAACATAATAGATAGTACTTGCGTCCATGACCAGATGATGTACCCGTGCCCAGTCGAGTAGGCCGCGGAGGCCAAGATTATTGCACGGAGCAAAAAGGCACACGGCTAGTTTTTCGCTACTCCGAGTTTCATACTACGCCCTCACCAGGTAACACTGAGATACATGTTCATGTTCATGTACATGTACATGCCCATAGATGATTACAGGCATTTAGCTTGGCTACCTTCGATGTACA